AGGAGAAGAGTTATCCTAATAGCTTCTTGTTGCCAACCCTGCGGAAGTTTTTAGAGGGGCGAGAAAGGAAAGCGCTTTAAAAATAGACTCCATCAGAGCACGCTGGGAAAAGACCTGCCATTTAAATCCCGACAAAGCAATTTGCAGCTCATAATCAAGGGAACGGAAACCGTTTTTTTATCGCATTTCCCTTTACAGTATAAGCTGGTCAGTTCCGCCACATCCACAGCAGAAGTTAGCGTGAGCCAAACGCTGGTAAATCTTGACCTTGTGTGCACGTTTGTTTGTTTGCTTTAACAGGTCAGCCGGAGCATAACCTCCAGTCGTTGCTGAGAGGTGATATTCCGTCACGAAAACACTGTTATTTGATAAGAGCTCGTGATTATCACGTTGGACAGAGATTATCATACATGAAATGACAAATTAAACAGGTATATTTTTAGAGCCTCCAAAGTGAGATGAGATAATATTTAGCCCGGTGACTGCTTATTTTCAGTCGCTCTTTGTCAGCATCTCACCACCTCTCCTCTCAAAGGCTGTCAGACTCAAAGGATGGCGTGTGTGTGACATCTGAGTGGCCCCGTGGTGGCTGGAGGGTGATGATTTTGCTCTGCAGATGGATGACTGTCTTTTCCTTGAATAGATGACACTCCTGTGTATTTATAGATATGGTATTTCTAGACATTTTGTGGACCTTTGTTGCCCAAAGTTCCAGTTAACAAACGCGCGGTTCCTATTTATAAACTGTGGCGGTGTATCAACACACACCATTGCAATATTTTTGGCTTAATAAAAGAATTATTATATGTCATCCATTGTTTCGTCGAGTTGTCATTAAGATAGGGATCAGCAGTCACTGAAAACATCACGTAGATCGCCGTGGCAAGCTGGAGATTCACCAGAGGACGCGCTCAGAAAATAAACAACTCCAAATTCAGTAATGGCGTGGACATAGCACAGTACGTGGCAGAAAGGCTGAAACTTTGAGTTTTTCTACTCTGACAGGAGAAGACGAAAAAACGCATGCTGATTGGAACAATTGCCGGATTTTCTGCGAATCAAATCTCTGCATATTTTCCTGTTTGGAGCAGATGTATACCAAACAGTGGTGACCCCCACTCTCCTTTTCAATGGGTTCGGGGTGATGTGCGCCGCGTCTAAGTGGAAACTGTTGCTCTTCAATCTCAAACATTGACCAGAATGCCAGGAATTCAATTGTGTGCAGGCATTGGGAAACCTGCAACCTGCGTGTGACTCGACCTGCCGGGTCGCATCGCCGATGCCCCGTGGAGCATGCAGGCTGTCATACGCGGAACGACTCCAGGTACGCTCCAGTGTGTGTGTGTGTGTGTGTGTGTGTGTGTGTGTGTGTGTGTGTGTGTGTGTGTGTGCCGGAGAAGAAGCGAGGGTCAAATGCGTTGCCTCCACAATGAGTTGACCTCATTCGTCTTGTTGATTATAATCTGTCATCTCCGAGAGCACAACAAAGGATACAATCATGGTTATTCAGAACGCGCTCTGCGGAAAAGACGCGTGAAAACAAACCGCACATTGCGCTAAACCTTTTCACCTTGTGGAGAAATAATTATGATTGACAGAAATATTCACCGATGCAGAAATGCGCTCGACTCACATTTAATAATAATTAGCCAGTGTTATTTTAATTCTGACTGCACGGTTGCTGTTGTTATTCCCGCTTAGTCACTAAAGCGTCACTTTCCAATTAAGATGATACGTGGGAGATGTGTCCATAAGGCTGTGCTCGCCATAGTTAAATCGTTGTTCTTCTTCATGTCTCAGCAGCTCTAATGTCATTGTGAACTCTATTATTGTTTCCGACAGCCACATCTAGATATATATGGGCTGCTAAACGTGCTCTTAGAGTAAAGGCCTGAAGGAAGCTGCTCTTATATGTCTAAAAAAAATTCCACCAATTCATTCATAATGAATTCGATATATTATAAACTCCCGAGGTCAGCGTAAAAGAAGACTATATTAAAGCAGGCCTGTGTCGCCTGGGCTGAACCTCGGCTGGCCTTATCTGTCTCAGCCCCCCGAGACATCCTGTATGCAGGCCCATTGTTCCCTGCCGCCCTGCTGAACTGACAACCTTTCTGCGCAACTGCACACCTGCTGCGCCCGAGTCCGCACACGTCTTTGTATATTCGCGCCTTTTATAGGCGAGCCTTTTGGTCCTCAAATTTAACTAGTAAGGTGTGTGTGTGTGTGTGTGTGTGTGTGTGTGTGTGTGTGTGTGTGTGTGTGTGTGTGTGTGTGTGTGTGTGAGTGAGAGACACAGAGACAGCGATGTATGTTTACATATGGAAGCCTTTGGTGCAGAAAGGCTTTCGCCAATATAAAGTGTAAAAAGCAATTGTCATATAAAATAGACCTATAATAATAATAATAATAATAATAATAATAATAAACTTTGTTAATAAACAAAAAGTTCAACTTTCCCCTTTTAAAAACAAACAAACAAACGCACAAATAAATCAATAAATATATGACAAAAGCTGCTGTACTGATTGATGGATTCCAACTTTAAATCAGGAGGAGAAAGAAATAAAATAAACTCCACCTCTGGTTGGACAGTTTATGTAAAAGGTTGCACTGGTCGAAACATTATTTCTTGTTAAACCCCTGTATTTATTATTTCTGTAAGCTTGTTTAGAATACAGTTGCCTTTCAAAAGCGCCCTTATCTCCTTATTGTTTACAAAACATTAATGTGAGGAAGCTGAGAACGTACACAGCTACATTTCAGGCTTGCCTCGACGCTCCCTCTGCACACAGGAGGATGGAGAAGTGTCAGTGTTAGTCTGAGTGAGACCCGGCTGATGGCATTTTCATTCTGTGTTTCTGTTCCCGCAGTTTTTATACGAGCTTTGGGCAACAATGTTAAGAGGTTGTCTGAGCTCACTGATCCCCGACAGCTGCCTGCTGCTGAGCAAGAAGAAGAAGACACGCTGTTTACAGTTGGGCCGAGTGTCAAGTCAATTTATCTGTGATTATGACTTTGTGCAGAGTCTGTCTGTCATGATGAAGTGATGTGCTGTTTTCTCGCTGGATTATTGAAATTATTTATTTATGCGCTTGAATAATAAATGAAAAACAGTCATCATGCGACATGCGCTGACTTTTGTGTCTGAGGATTATAAGTGAATTATGCGCTTTATCAGCAGCCAATACCCAGGGGCGAGAATTCCTTGTTTATGCAGTCCTCAAAAAAAAAAAAGAAGAAAATATAAGAAAAAGCTATCGTTTGAATTTCGTTTATATACATGCAAAAAGTCTATGCGACTTTTTCTGTCAATAAATTACTTAAATTATCCATGACCCACATGCATTTTGTACATATGCAATGAAATAATTGCCTACGGTTAGCTTACTTTAGCAAAACCTCATGTAATGTGCGTATCCATGGCGCCGTAAGTGTGGCTTTCGTTCGGTCACCGATTGTCTCTGCAGTAGAAAAAAACAAGAAAAAGGATTTTTGCGTCCTATTTTGGCGCACCTGGACGATGACCCTGTTTGACCGTCCCTGTGACGAGTAAAAGTTGGAGAGAGGTGAATGCTTGGATGCGCCTCCTGTGGTGCCCTGAAGTCATGTGTTGGGAGTTTTTCATCTTTAAATGATAGTACAATAATTAATTTAGGAAATAATATTTTTTAAATGACCCGACGATTCCTTAGTAATCCACTGTGCGTGAAAGCTATAACCTATTCGAAAGAGACACTTTATTTGCAGTGATCGATCACTCAGATGTAAACGCAGACAGCAGATAACGCCAATATGTCGATGCTTTGTGATAATAGCAGAGAAGAGGTTGAGATCAAGTTTTACCAAAAGGCTATTTTAATTTTCTTCATGGATGTTCCTCTGGGCTGCATGGAATTTTATTTTCTTTAGTCCTGCAATCTCTCAGTAAAACAAAAAGAAGGGAAGAAGGAGGAGCTGTCTAAATGTGCCCCACTTTCACCCTTCAGAGCAGACTGTCAGCAGATGTCAATATTTTGTAAACTACATTTGGGATAAATGACTTTATCTTTTTTTTTTCTTCGTGTAACGTGTTACTATTACTGGTATATATATATATATATATATATATATATATATATATATATATATATATATATATATCTTAACTGATTTTATTTGTTTATTACCAATACTTATAGCTAAAAAAATACTAAAAAACGCAAACAAACAATACACTAATGCCGTAAATCAATTCCACCATATTATCGAATTTATTATTATTATTATGATTATTATTATGATTAATATTATTATTATATTATATCATTATTATTATTATTATTACTAGCGGTAGAAGGCATTAGTAGTGTTGCTGCACTTATAGAGAAAGACTATTTAGATGTATATGTATATTTGGATATTTATGATCATAAATTACGAGCTGAAATTTTCCAGTTTATGTGTGTATTTTGTTTCTTTGTCTGTTTGAAATTAACTAGTAAAAAAGAGGACTGTTACCTACACGCAACGCCGCTGCAGATGGGAAAAATATAAAATATTAAACATATGACATTAATTGTCCTTAGCGGGCATAAATACTAATGAATAAGTCTAAATGTGTTTTTATTGTATTGCACACAACGCAGACACTGATTCTTAGTTGAAAGAGAAAGCTTTTACCTGGTCACACTAATATAATAAATCGATAGATTTTTAAAATGTGCCTAATTTGAGCCAAACAGTTCAATAGAATACATATTTAATTTTTAAAGTGATACTGAGTGCGCCTATCAGCCATTTTTATGTAAGCCTATCCTCAGCCGACCACGCGCCGCTGTTAATAGTGTTATTTTCTTTCTTGAACAAGCTGTGAAAAAAACTCCTGCATCATAACCAATGTGGCACTTTCATGTCGTGTTAGGTTCACAGATTTGTTTATTACTGATTGCTCGCCTACTGCCAGCAGTGGTTGCTATAATAGCCTAAAGCATACAACAGATTACTTCATGACCACTTAATTATTTAAGAAATACAACTTTATTAAGAAATTGACAAACCTAAAAAAAGGGAAAGTGCTAATTAAAATGAAACATGGCCCCAACATTAATGAAACATAACTAATCACATTTATATATATATATAAAAACGATATTTAGAAAGAACAAAATCTGACACTGGCTGGCGTCACTTTGGAATTTACATCATGTAATCAAAAAGTATGAAAAGCCCTGAATTGTTTTTTTTTCTTTTGGTAGTTTGCTGGATCTCTACCCACACCTTTTAAACCTAACAAAGTATCCAACTATAGCAGGAGGTGAAGTATCACCGTGCAGGCCTTTCTCGGTGCAGCTTACTAAGAAAGCCAAAATTAGCTCTGATTTAATCACACATTAAAACTCTGACTTCATTAGGACGTCTTTCGGCAGTAAGCCGAAGGAAAGCTGAGACAAATCATTACGCACACCAAAAATACAGCTGGACCGATGTCAGCAATGTCTATCCATTCAAAATAATCAGTTTTTCATTTCACAATTTTGATTTTACAATACCGAGTTATGGCCATCAGTCCAAGTGTAATACAGGCGCACGAAATGGCTCCCAGAGGTTGTGCTACCTGATGAATGAGCAGCCGATGACTCCTTTACCTCCTGTTTCCATTTCATAAAACTTTCTCAGCATCACCTCGTGCATATAGCTCCCCGTCGGCATTTAGATGTCAGCTTGGAACCGAAGAGATCTGAGTCAGAGTGGTCTCTTCAAAATACTGTCGGCTCTGTTTTGAAATCACAGGAATTACCTCTCTGTCTCTCTCTCCCAGAGTCTTCATTTTTGCACGGACCAGTTGGTAAACTTCAAATATCAATCCTCGTGTGTAACGCCGAGTGTTTGGTCTCGTGTTCCCAGTATGAGCAGTGCATCATGGAGAGCTCCGCGGGCTGGCGGGAGCACGCGAACTGAAGGCCGGCTCCGTTACTGGAGGAGACCGGAGGTGGTGCCGCGGTGGCAGGGCTTAGCTGCTGGGTATGATGGGGATGGTGATGGTGACTCATGCCGTTGTAAGAGTTCACCATGCTGGGGAGCGCCATGCTCTGCACCCGGGAGTAAGGGTTATATGATGAGGGGGCTGACAGCCCCTTGACGTTCACTGGACTCACGTTGCCGCTGGCCATCTGACAGGACGTGTAGGGCATCGGAGTGGGCGGCTGGCCCAACGACCAGGAATTGTTCATAAAGCTAGACTGCAGGTACTTGGGTGGAGAAAGGTAGCCATAGCTGTCCCCTCCGAACAAGGCCTTCCCCGGCTGGAAGTGCGTTGGTGGGGGTCTGAAAGGCCGCTTCATCCTGCGGCGTCGCCTGTAGTTCCCCTTCTCGAACATGTCCTCACAGGCTGGGTCGAGGGTCCAGTAATTCCCCTTTCTCTCGCCGCCGCCCTCCCGCGGCACCTTTATGAAGCATTCGTTAAGACTCAGGTTGTGTCTGATGCTGTTCTGCCAACCTTTCTTGTTCTTCTCGTAGAAGGGGAATTTGGTGATTATATACTGGTATATGCCGGACAGCGTGAGGCGCTTCTCGGAGCTCTCCCGGATAGCCATGGCAATGAGAGCGACATAGGAGTACGGCGGTTTCTGGGACGGATCCGGCTTCTCGGAGACTTTGTCCTGAACCGGCTCCTCTTTTGGGCGCTCTTTCTCCTTGGTCGTGTTGGTGTCGTGGATCATTAGGGCCATTGCGTCATCCTCTGGGTTTTGGTAAGTGGCCATCATTGCGCACACACCAAAACAAACAAGTCCAGTCTAAACTTTGAAAAGAACACCTTTCTGACGCTTCTGTCTCGATCGGTGAAATGCTGCGCTGCAGAATCTCAGGATGCACCAGTGAGTCAAAAACTGTCCTCCAAATTGCGCACGAAGAAATCTTAATTGTAATTTTGCGGATCAGTACGTGACATGCACCAGACCTTCCTCTCTCTTCAGCTGAGATTTTTCTAAGCTGTTTTCTGATGGACGCGCAACCCAAGTTTTGGACTGTGAGTCAGTAAGGCCAGCCCTTTCCCCTTTTTTTCAGGGCCGCTGACAGGCTGCTTTCGCTCTAGCGCTCTACACCGAGCGACGTAGTGCTTTGTGATTTGTTCGTATTTTAGTTCCGCCTTCCGTGGTTCCAGTCAATGAAAAAACGAGCTCTTCTTCACTTGTTGAAAATTGTATTAATCAGAAAGGGTTCAAAATACTAGTAATAATATGCGCGATAAACACCTATTTACAGTAAAATGCAGGCATAAAACACTGTAGGAAACCTGAAGCAGTTAGTGAGTAATGAAAATAGAAATACAGGTATTCGTTGAAAGAATGCAATTATGCTTATAGCTAGTGAATTCGTTGCTCAAAATATTATATTAACATGACTGACTCTGCTGTTTGAGTCAGAAAGGAAGCAAGCTTTTCAGAAAAAGGGGTGGAAAATATTAATAATAACAATAACAAAAACAGATAAAGAAATGTTCCGAAATATGTCTTTGCGCAAAACAACCCCAAAATTAAATATTTGGAACAAACGTATTCCAATTTTCAAAGTAATTCTGTTTAATATATCTATATTTTTCCACGTTTGAATGTGAAATATAAAATTTCACTTTTTCTAGTAAATTCAATATATAGTCCAAAATATACAATCTAGTCCACACATTCTCCCCAGAGTCATGCATATTTGTAAAGGGCTGTAGAGTCCACATAATTCTTACAAAATCCGGATAGCTAGTGGTGCTTAATTAGCTCACCGCGGAGAGGGAAGTGCGTGGTGAAGTATACATTTCTCTGGCCACCCATGAGGGTCCCCTCGGCTTTCTCTGGGAGTGTATTTCCGTGCTTTGGGAGTCTTTGCAGGTGGAGCAGCATTGCCATGTGTGTCATCACCCTGCACCCAGTCTGCAGCCAGTCTGCAGCAGCTGAACCGCGCTGAGAGCCAACCATCTCTCAACATGCAATTACCGCCGACTCACACTTTCGAGAGTTACGACGCGTTGTTATTTCTTGTTCCAATGTCTTTTTCACGTGTTTACGACGGACAGCACTTCCCGATAATCTCTGCACCGCCATTACAGGTTTACTTTGCAAGTATATGGTTTGGTTAAAACATGACATCATCATGTTAATTAATACAAATATTATTTAAGAGTATACACTAAGAATTCCTACTTACTTGTCCGTAAAACTGTAAAATCGTTAAAAAAGATACTTGTGCAAAGAAACGGCCCTAAATGAGAAAAATCAACCCTGTCTCAGAGAAATCACTTTTGAATTTGAAATATCAAAGGCTAAATGCTTATACATGGAAGTTAAGTTACATTTTAAAAAATTATAGGTTTATCCCATTGCACTTGAAGGTATTGCTTGTACTCATTTATACAGGGCATCTATATGTAGAGTGGTTTGCGTTTGTGCAAATAAAGTAGAAATCACAAAAACAAACCTTTTGTCCCGGCCGTTAAATGTTTAGGTTTACCTCGCGATTCCATGACTTGTTTAGTCTTCCTTTATTGTTCCACATTGTTCCTCTGTTTTCTGCTTCTGCACTCACAAAAAAAAAAAAAAAAAATTGACGGGGAGGGGGGGGATCGTTCATATATATATATATATATATATATATATATATATATATATATATATATATATATATATATATATATATATATATAAAAGCATTACAAAATATAGCCCATTGTTATCGCTTTTAATTATGTATTGTAGTCCTCTAACCCTTTCAAACTTCCCCGGTGGCCCCTGTGCAGCACCCGTAAAACCCTGTATCTCACCGCTTCTAGGCTAAAATGCTAAATAGCAAAACTTAATCAGCAATTTCTTTCAAAACGGGTGTGCTTATTTAAATATAGCCTTTTGATAAGGTAATTCCAGAGTATGTAATCTTTGTAATCTATGACGTCTTGAAAATAATAATAAAGGTCATCTGCTGTCTCAAAATAATTGGCCTGCTTTATCTGTGTCACCTAACCACCGCACGTACCCGTTAGGTTCCGGTTCAGGTAGTCTAGCTCTAAATGTTTTTTTCTTCTTCTCTCTCTGTGTTGTCAGAGGACTTACTTGACACTTGTCTGTTCAGGTTCAAGCCGCTGGTCTTAGGGCAATTTTATTATTATGCTCCGTCTCTCTCCATTAGTCTACCTGTAACCTAATAGAGGAATGGTTTGTTGCGCGACACGCACGCGCTTCACGTCACATAACAAAGCTGTAAACAGCATGTCGACAATCCGTAAACAAAATAAGGACCCTGAAACCTGAACTGGTTGTAGTAGTTACAGGCTTCAGGACAGCCCTGGGAATGTTAATGTGAGAGCACAGCCTGTTTTTAAGGTAACTTTGACATACAATAAAAACAAATAGACTATAAATAACTTCCCTGTAGACTGTCTACTACTAATATAATATAATTAATAAAAAATAATAAAAGGGTGTATAACTGAAGAGTAACAATGATTTTTTTTAAATGTCTTCCACTTATTTGAAATTTTCTTCTCTGCACCTTAGCAATTGTGCTTTGAAAAACCCCACGAATAAAAATCCATCTCACAAACGTTTTTGTTGTTGTTTCGGATTATTTCTGCCTGTTCTTAATAATACCAGATATGAGTACTATCCCTGCACATTTTCTGGATCCGATGGGCGAGATAGCGGCGTGCACTCCCGAGACTCAAAAGGCTGTCACAGAGAGACAAGAGTAGTCCGTGTCTTCTTCCTAGATAAATACACATACTCCAAAAGTCTTCTCAAGTTATCGCTTAATCCCAGACACCTCGTGGAAAAACTTCCCAATAAAAAAGCCTCCAACTCCCCGGCCCACCACCCGCACACAGTCCGATAGACTTCCAATACTTCTAAAAATATTTTATTTATATTCATGTAAATGCACCTAAAGTTAGGAGAATGTTTAGTATGTGTATTACAAGCCCGCGATATAGATTTTAGTCCATATAGTCCATCTTCGTGATGACTACAGACATGATCCAAATCACAACAATTGTAAAACAATCAGTGTTTAAATGTTTTGCTCTTTTAAGTTACTTTTACTTTAGTTTACTTTTTATGATAGACTCGCAGCCACAACTTATTTTCCACATATGTACAACACCTAGGCCATAGTTTTCCTATAATGTGAGCGTGAGGCAGGCCTCCAGTGAGCTGAGGAGCCATCATTGTAACGGGCCTCAATCTAATTTGAAAGAGTGGAATTCCTGTTCTCTCGCACTTCCTGCACTCGCAGGTCTGGGACTAGGATGTTTATAATTGCGCATGCGGGTGGAATGTGGCGAACGGAACCACCAGGTCAGGTCGGGACCGGAGAGCAACCGACCGGACTGGAGACGACCAGCCGGCTTCTGACAACAGGCAGGAGCTACAGCAGTGCGTTTCCACAACATTATTATTATTATTATTATTATTATTATTATTATTATTAGTAGTAGTAGTAGTAGTAGTAGGATAAAAGTAATTTCTTCTAATTTATTAATTTAATCTTAACTGTGATAGCGTCATCATCATCAATAACAATAATAATTATATAATATTTGTTGTGGTTGATAACGTTATTATCACAGTTATGATTAAATGAATACATTATTATTATTATTATTATGATCTTAGTTTTATTTTGAATTATTTTGAACCATGACTCTTATTGTTAAAATGGTCTATTCTTATTTATTAAGCCTTTGTAAAATGTCCCACTTTTTTTCTATCCCTCTCTCCAATATAGTCTTAAACCATCCTACATTCCCTTTCCCCCCCAAGGGAGCCTCTGCTTTTTAAAAATAATAGCGCAGTGACAGATTAAGCTGTGCTCTGTGCCCTTTGTGTGCATATGTATTTTGATATGGGTGAATGAAAAAAACACAGCCTTCAAGCACTAGCAAATGAAAGCCTGTTATTCTGTTTCATAAAGTTGAGAATTTAAGGTGAAAAATTGCCAAACAAAGCTTATGAAGGTTTTTTTTTAAATCTTGCTTAACACTGTCAGGGACTCTTTATATCTATAGGAAGAAAAAACAAGTGAAATACACATGATATATTTGACTTAATGTGTTATTTGCAGTTATTATAATTAAAATGTGGTTAATAATCTTATCTGAGGTCAGAGGTTCTTATCTTCCATAAGCAGTGGTGCATCTGTCCTGGACAGCTGTTGGGAGAGACAGCTCTCACTGCTTGTCCTAGTTTGATCTTACTGGGCTGTTTCTGGTTCATTTGCATCTGGCTCGCCTGCATTATTAAACATCAACAACACGCCGCCGCTCTTGAATGGAATCCTTATGAGGTGCAGGAAAGAGAGGGGAGGGTGGGGGTGGGTTGAGGGACAGAGGGAAGAGATGAAGAGGAAGGAGAAGGATGTACCCTCAGCCCTCATGTGGCGTCCCCAACATGGCTCTTGTTCCTCTCAGAAAGAAGAGCGTGAGATAGAGCAAATAAACACTGACCACCAGAATCTCCCCTGCATCTCCTTTTGCATCCCTGCCCGCATGGGTTAATGTTTGAGTGAGGAATGCAGAGAGGCAGATATATGCATGCACTATACTCTTATTTTTGAGGTGTCAGATGTTACTCACGAGTTTGCACAAAATGGAATCGACATATTTTGGGTGTCACTCTGCAGAAGGTTTGAGAGACACTTCCCCTCTTTGTACAATCCATCCCCTCACTTTGAAACATTCAGACAATCATATGAGAGCATCCCACATCCCCACTCATGACCGTACATTGCCCTTCATCAGACTCAGTCAGCAGTTCTTTTCTAAACATAAGTCTGTGGGAAACTGCATGGTCTTCCACTTTACTAAGTCCTGTGTAATGGACATTCACCAAAAAGGGAAGAAGCAGTGAGTTTGGTTTTGCAGAAGAAGTTACTCTAAAAAAAGTTTTGCAATAACACAATAAAAAGAAAGGAGGAATAACATTTGTAAAACTACTTAATTTGCATGCTTTGTGTTATTGCATACT